GCGTAGATTTGTGAAAGCACAATTATAATTTGAATGATTCTTCTGGGGATTATAAATTTCTTAAACACTATCAAAGAATCCGCTCCTAGACCAGCGAATCGCAAAATTCCCCGTGTACTCTCCAATACGGTTATCATTATAAAATTTGAAGACGCCACTTTCCTGCCGCACAAAGAACAACTAGTTCAAATAATCGTTCTGTTCTTGTCGAAACTTCAATTTCAGTGCTCGCTCATGAAGCTCAATCACGAAATTCTTCATGACGAAATCTATTTTTAGTCAAAAGCTACCTTTCCTATAATTTTTTTTTCATTGATCACTGAGTTGTTTATCGATTTATTCAAGCTACAACGAGAAGATATTCTCTATTCCTTGGATTAGAATCGGTTTTATGGCTTCGATGTTTAGAAGATAATTTCGAATGGGTTAAATAATTATTAACGGTTAAATTATTATTTTCATAAATAATCATCAAATATTCAGAAAACCCAATTTAGCAACTCACATGTCTTTTTTTCAATTATTATTACACACTACTTGTGACTAGACATGTGATTGATGATGACCAATGATTCAAAAATACACGAACTAATATATTTCTTTATTTATCCGTAAAAATGGCTTAATACATTTAACAATCGTTAGGCCAATTACAAAATGCACAGTGGTTGTTATATGGCAATGAATAAATATGCTTTGTATAAATGTGGTCACTTCTCTTCCTATATGAAAATAATAAATCATAAAATTATTCTAACTGAATGTACAAAGAGTGTCCCTTTTATTCTAAAATAAAATAAACATCTCTGAAAGACGTCGCTTAAATCGCTATAACCAATATTGTAATTGGGATTTATTCTGTTTGATACACCATTCTAAATCAATGAAAATAAGTCTTCTACCTTCTAATCAGACCTAATTTCAAGTCGTTTCACTCAAGCAATTATTGTTATTCTCATGCCGCTATTAACGGTTTGGATGGAACAGACATTGTTACAATAATAAAAAACAAGCCTATGATATGAATACTGAATGAACAGGAACACAAACCATGTTTAACCACGCAACGGGACTGTTCAAAATTGAACGAGCTGCTTTCATACTTTTGGAGCCAATAACAATAGTGTTCCTTTTGATTTTGTTCTTTCTATAAATCTATTAGAAACATAAAAACCATTCGAATCGGTTCAAGTCATGATCAGCTCGACAATGTTATGCACATTATCGCCAAAATATGATTCATTTCCAATGGCAATCAAAATAAAAATCTCTTTTACGAATGAATACAAGCTAGTAACAACTGTAAATTGAATTTTGTTTTTTTTTTCCAGGCAAAGTGTGCGGCTTCAATATTTTGACTGAAATGAAACATTGAAAAAAATTGGTTTGAATAGAAAAACAACGAGCTATTAGAAAGTTAGAGCTGCTGTTGTCATTTTTTCTGGTTTTCGTCACCATTGACACCAGTTAAGGTTGTAGTATGAGCGCACTAACCAATGCAGCACTGTCAAAATAAAGAAAGTGTACGCGCAATTAATGAACTTCCTCTGTAGAGATCAATGATTTTCGGGGCGTAATCTTACCGGGCGAGTTTCAAACGAAAACATTCTGTAATCGCCGAGCAAACAGAAGAGAGAGAGAGAGAGAGAGAGAGAGAGAGAGAGAAAGAAAGCAACAAATGATAATTTATCGCACAATCGACTATTGTACCTCATAATGTAATATGTGTTATATGCGGTAACTTTCATTTGCGAGTGGCTCCGGTTTTTTTGCATTTCATTTCTGTTTAATTTACATCGATGTCGGCTTTCAGTGAACTTGTACTTACTGAATGGATCCGCATTGAGTTTAACAAGATTTGTTACGCTCAATAGATTTCTTTCGCCAGGTTGATTTTTCTTTCTCTCTTCATCACAAGCAGCGTGCACGCAGAAGAAAACATACATTACAGCTTCTTGTTTCCACAATACGTAAATAAAAATGTTGCAAGACAAAACACAAAGCACGCATTGAAAATCTTCATTCAAAAGCAAAAACAAAAACAAACTAATGAAAACCAAACGAAATTACGGCAGATCCGACTAGTTGAAGATGGAAACAAAAAACCTACTTGTACATTACCCGGGAGTGATCGCATCATTTCGTGGTTGTATCATACGCAAGCGGTAGTCGTTCGAGAGTGAGAGCGAAAGATGCTCGAAGGCGCGATCATCATTATCTTCAGCCAAAAAGAAAGATTGACGACCTTTCTTTCATCAATGATTTTTTTTTTATCTTGGGCACTCATTGCGCGCAGTTTCTGCAATTTGTATGATTATTTTGTTGTTGTTGCTGTGCTATTTCGTTTGCGATATTGCCATTGTCTTTCCGTTCAAATAATCCAGTGAAAGCGAAAGGGTTTCCGATACGTGAAATACTTACCGTACATGAAGCATTTTAAACTCATCAAACTATTTTGTCGATTGAGATTTTCGAGCGTTCATGTGAATGAAACTCATTAAAATTAAATGTAGATTTCCTACCGAATGTCTAGAAAATCAAATCGGATCGAAGCAGCTGTTTCGAAATGGAGTTTTCTCTTGTGCTATATGCAAGTACTTAATTTTTGATGGCAACATAAGCTTTTCTCTGCGCTTCGAACATGTATCGAGCCAGTTTTCAAGCAACCTTCTTGTTTTCCCAATTTCTAATCATTTGCTATCGACTACGCAATCGAAGTGCTAAAAGCTGTAATAGTTAGCGGCCTCCAAATGAAATCTCGCATAATTTATTGAGTAAGAAGATGATGTGATCGCGACAATAGAGAAAACCTGTGTGTGTGTGTGTGTGTGTGTGTCCATTTTAATGGGATGGGCAGGCATAGACAAGTGAATAATGACGTTCCCCCTAGCTTTCTTTCTTTCTTTTTTATCTTGATCTCAATATGTTTCGACTTGTTGTGTTGCCCATTTTACGATTATCATCTCACACAATTCCATTGTCCATGAAACCGAGTAGCACATCTATATATTCACATCGATCGTATGCTTGGCGGCCGAGCCGATTGCACAATCGACGTAGAACCTTTCACTTTCGTTTTCTCTTGCTCTCGTCTGGTTTTTTTTTCGTTTTCACTCTTTTCAAGTCGTCTTTTCCTATTCCGATCATCATATGGTCGAACGTGTTTGGATTACGATGTGTTTGGACGATATTTTCGTAATTGTTCAAACGAGAGAAGAAAGAAAAAATCATATACACCAAAACACACGCATTAATGACTGTGTTGAGGTGTTCGCTTAGAAAATTTTCTACTCATATTTTTTTCGACTTCATCTTATTTCACGCATGAGATCTTGAGACGAGATTTTAATGCGTTTCGTATTAACCGCACCGCATTTTGCACGATTTCATCGAATGACTTCCGATAAAATCGGTCGAATACATACGGAACAGAAACAGAATTAATTCCAAATAAATTGTGCTGCTGAACCGATGAAAACTGAAGAAAGTGCTGATCTCAATTTGAGCAAATGAAAAAAAAAATTGTCACATTTGATCGTAAAATCTAAAATTTAAACACCAAACGATACTAAAATGCACGACCACTTTCATCATGGTCACCAACCAAATTGATTCTTGGAATTTTGCTGAAAAGCAATTTTTAGCATTCGTGACACTTGCACGTTATTTTTTTTTCTTAGTATTTTTTTCCGTTTTCGTCGTGCAATTTTGTCGGAAAATTTTCTCTTTTGTTACGTTTAAAAAAAAAACGGCCACAACACTTGGGCGATGAAAATCTGAACGAATTTTATTTTTAAATATGCGTGTAACAATTAACTTGCCAAATACGAGTCACAAAGTCGATTTAGATATGAGCTTTAATACTTTCGGTGCTCATTTTTTTCTTCATTAACGCATATCACGAGTCAAGTAATAGAAAGTGCTATGCGGTGCCACAATACAGTGGCATGCTTTATTTGGAAATTAGAAATATGTTTATACGATTTGATTGAACGCAAGTCTACCATTGCGAAAGATAAAAATCTTGATGTTCAACGTGCATTCAGTTGGGCACCATTAATGGAATTGTCGAGCATATCGACGCGAAACAGGGAGAAAATGGTTCAGTAAACGATTCTCAATCGTCTGTCATTCACAAAGTGATTAAATACGAACAATAGACAGTTTCACTGAAAGCAATAAAATCCATCGATTTCCCAATGAAATTGAAACTTACTGCGCCCAAATTTCAACGTTTTCTTGCTTATCTTTCGAAACAGGGTGAATGAATCGATAAATTGAAAATTAAATTGTCTTAATATCGATGGTGTCAAAGTCAACGTATGATGCATTTCGGAAAAAGAGCCGTAGAAAGTGGAAATACAAGTATTTTATTAAGGTTTTGAGTCACGGTCAGAGAAATGCGTTAAGAATGACCATGAACGTAAGAAAACATGATTTATTTCCTTGATTTTATGATTTTCTGCTTTTCTTCGCTTAATGCATTTCACATCATCAAAATGCATGGCCATGGTACTACTCTTTCATCACGTTTTATGTTATTTTGTTTGTTTTTTTTCAATTCGCACCACACAAACCAATGTCGATGTACTACTATTTGAAGATAGAGAGAGAGAGAGAGAGAGAGAGAGAAATACATATAAAAAATGAACCGAAAAAGAAAGAGTCATGAAACGTTTTACGAAAAAAAAAAATAAACGCATTGCGATTTCAACATAAGAAAGAGACAATGAACCGAGTACTCGCGAACAATAAAACGCCTAGTAAAAAACAAGAAATGGAAACGAAAAAGAAATGAAACAAAATTCAGCGTGTGGAGTGGAACATGATCAAAACAAAAAAAGACAAGACCAAACTTCAACATAGCGCGAGATTGACGGGAGAGAGAGAGAGAGAGAGCGAAGAGGGAAAAAAACTCCGACTCGAATTGAAACGCAGCCGGAGTGTGAAACTATATTAGTAGGTTATTTGGTTGGAATGATTTTAGTTAAGCATAAGATTTTGTGGCGGTAATGTGTAAAAATTAGTTTGAGTATCGGACGCTCTGTGGAAGACGATCGTGCTGAATTTTCGCTTACAATAGTTTTATTTTTCTTCGATCTCAACTCGACTACAACATCAACCGAACCAAACAGACGTTGAGCTGAAATTCCGTTTAATCATATTTTTTTTGGTATTAAACTCCACAATTCGCTATCGAACTCCGAATTGGAGCAGAATGAGTGATAGAAATACAAAGTGTTAAGTTTTCTGCTCAATCGTTTTTATTTGCTGGGGTGCATCTGCGAATGCGTTATTTTTACCCGAAATATTTAAACAACGAAAAAGAAATTAAGAGCGTTTAAATTGGAAGAAAAAAGTTTATCAAAATGCGTGATTTCTTTTTATGCATAATAACTGCATTGATTGTGGTCGCGCAGTGTGAGACAATTCATTTTACCAATTCACCATCACATTTGATTGGCTCGAAAAATATCACCTCATATAAATTGCTAGTGAAAAATTCCGATCCGATAACGATAATCGAAGCAAATAAGGAGGTTGAAGAGCGTCCACGCCACAAATACAATGAAAATTATCAGCCCAACGATCGCATCGATGTAAATATTGATGATGGTGGAATCGATTTGCCGATGCCTGACTATCATGTGAAATTGATGGCCAATTTGGGTGGATCGCATCAAGTAGAAGCCACCAATACGCAAAATGTTCGCGGTGCTGTTGGCATCACAATAACCGGTGGTCCATCAGATGGTGCACCGTCAAATTTGAACGAATTTAAGAAGAGCGATTACCAGGACCACGATAATGACGGTGAATCGAGTAATTTTAGTGCAAAGAAGGTGGTATATTCGCCCATTTTATTGAAAAAATTCATGAAAGAATATTCGGAAAAGTTGAAAAATGCTGATGCATCGACGAAAAATGAAATTCAAAGAATTCACGAGAAAATCCATGGTCAAATGCAACCGATGAATGAAAATGAAAATTCTGATCCACCGTTGGTGTTTGACAAATCGATTGAGGAGATGGAACAAAAGTATAATTTGAATGGATTTCATGACCGATACGCCGATGATGATCGGCACAATCGATACAAAGACCGAGATGGATGGGTAACTTTGGAGGCAGTTCCCTGGAGTAGTAGCAGCGTTTCAAAGTGGCATCCACATTCACACGACAACGTTGATGATACACGACGAAAACCATCAGTGAATACAGCTCGACCGTACCAAAACAAACCCGATAAATTCCCATATCACGACGATTTCGAGGATGAATACTACAATCGGCCCAAGCCAGCGTACATCGATCGAGACAAACCAAGTGTTTACTCCACATGGACCAAACCACAATCACTGAATAGCAACGGCCGGCCACGGCCGCAACCGTACCGATTCGGTGATTCGAGCACCTATGGATCGAACAAATTTCACGACAGAGATCACCATTCGAACCGACCTTGGAATGGTGAAATAATAACAGACAATCGACCATCGTCCGATTTCCCATCCCAGTCTCATGGATCACATCCATATCACGATGATGATCATTACAATACCGCGTCGAGCAACTTCCATTCGTCAGTAACTTCCATTCGTCAAGACCGGCCGAGCGAAAGTAACGGTGAATGGGTTTTGATTTCGACCACAAAAGGATATCAAATACCCGGTGGCAATCGTCGCCAACAAGGTAATCGTGCACTGTCTCCGTCAAACGCACAGTCAAGCGTCATAGTCAATGTGCCGCAAACAATGCGAATGCATAAAGCTCTCAAATTAACCGTTTTGCCAGCAGAAGACCCTGCTAAAAATAGTACATTTTCAACAGATCCCAAACGAAAACCAACCACCATACACGGTGGCATGCTTGAAATTGATGCAACACATGAAACGATTGAAGATGACGTTCGAGCCACGATGCAAGCTCAGGCTCAAAAGAAATTAACACAAGCAAATCAGCCAGTAAAAACGTCATCCAACGAAAATAAAAATCGAAAATTACTGAAAGGTAATTTCAAGCTTGAAGAGCGATCTGAATAAAAAAAAATCAAACTTTTTCCCCTCTCTCTCTCTCTCTCAATCTGCCGATGTTTGCATCCATATACACATACACTACTTCAATTTTCTGTCGAAAACTTTTCGAATTCCACGTCAATCTCTGATTCGTTTGGCAAATACTCATTTGATATTCGCACAATACACACTGAACCGAAATTTAAATGATAAAAAACACAAAACAAAAGTGAAATTCAATTGAACACCAAATTTAAGGAAAAAAAAAAGAATAATCAAAGCAAAATTTCATGCACTGCGAAACTAAAATGAATAAACAAAAATGACATTAACTCCCGTTTTTCAAGTGATTACGACAAAAAATGGAGAAGACAAATCAACGGAAATACTGGCAGCTGTCGGAGCTGGCTTAGTTCCTGCCACTATGGCCTTCCTCGCTCCGATGGTCTTTGGACGACGCAGACGACGAAGTATTGACAGTACAAGCAAACTTCCTATTCAATTCCAACAAAATACTCACAGTCCATTAATTCATCCATTGTTTATGTAGGATGCAACACCTCTTTAAAATCCGGAGCGAGATTTTAATTTATTACAAACTTATCCATGTTACAATGTAATAGTATATATTTCTAATTTATTTATTTATTGGATTTTTGTAGAGTAAAAAAGTATTAGTAGATTCAATGAAAGAAAGAATTATTGTATAAACTATAAATTATTGTTCGCTTACCAAGCGCCAACTAAATTATTGAAAAACTCAATTTTTATTTAAAATATTTGTTGTAAATTTAAGAAAAAGAAAATAAACAAAATATGTGAAAAAAAAAACCAAAACAAAAAGATTTGTATTTGCGTTGGTTTCGTTGTAAATTGCAGATGACCCGAATGGAAGACTCTCACTACAGAAGATAAATCTTGAACTGTTGACATTCGTAACACATTTGTCTTTAATTATTACTCGAAAGCCAATGCAAAATCACGGCTTTCTGAGCAACAATCAAAAATAAGAGGTATTACATCTGGCATTTGGTTTTTGCGTAAGCAGCACGAAAGTTGATTCGGTTGATAGTAGTGTAATCGGGTTGGATTGTGTCTCATTCCCATGGCAATAAATCTTGTCGCAAAATCTGAAATAGAATCTACAAAGAGGTAAACAATTATTTTATAACTTTGAAAGTTGCACAATTTTTATGTGGCTATAAACATAGGAACGAAAAGTATAATAAAAATGTTGCATTTACTCAAACTGTACCATTGTTGAAATGCAAAGAAAATCTTGTTTCTGTTGTTAAATGCGCAATATCTTTGATTATATTGGAAAAAAAAAAGTCGAGTGTTTTTCCGAGTTAATACTGTTTTTCCGATGGAAAATTATATTTCTCAACATCTTCAATTAAAATAGATTGATTGGACGAAAACACTGAAACAACACAATCATCGGGATAACGAAAATAATCTTGTTTACTCGAAATGTATCGGCCGCCGAGAGATCGAACTGTATCGGATGGAGAATGTTTCAGAACTGAGCTAATTTCATAACCTGCAAATGGATTTTCTAAAATTTCTGATTCCTGATTTATGTGCACAATCCACAAATACAAACAAATGATGTGACTGCACGTCACACACTCGTATCCTCATATACAATGGGCCTTCGGGATGGTTTATAACCGAAAAATTTCTAAAGTTCAAATTCACACCTACTTTGACTTCAACCACCGCCAGATACATACATATATATACATATTCGAAATGGTATCGAAGGCAACGAAGCGAGAGAGATTCATTTTTTTTTTTAAATAATATCCATTGACTGTGTGCGTTGTGATTCTGTTTGTTGCGCATTTGTGTTTATACATGTGGAAAGGACGCGAATTCCGAATTGAATCGTGCAAACAAACACATAAAAACGACTTGCGCGCATACAAAGTATAGTCGAATGCGTTATGAATGTCACTGAAGATCGACTAAATTACCGGTGTAAGGATAAAACAAAAGTGGGAAAACGATATCAGTTTAAAATAAAGCGAGAGACCGTTTGTGTTTTTGGCTCTTGGCTGTGTGTTTGCGTAAATGTGTTGTGTACCAGGTTTGTATACATTTGGCGAAATCACTTGAAAAATGGAAAAACAATTATTGCTATTATGGATTGAATTTTCACTGACTGAACCAGATCGCACTCGAGCTGTACTGTTGGAGGGGGTTTTTCGACTCGATTTGTGATTGTGTTGGTAAAATATATTCATGTTGTTGAGTTCCAAACTTGATACATTCGTCAAAAGGGGATTGAGAATAAACTGAACAATCACAGTAGAACCGGTACAACTTATGACCGGATCTGGTTCTAGACTCTCGGTGGTGTTCGTATCAATCACGTAAATTAAAATCAGAGGGTTTACTGTATCTATTTCTCGTGAATTGAGATAACAAACGAAGGAGATTTTCGAGTTATGTATAATTAGCTGTGTGCTATAAACAATACGATATGAATCACGTCTCCAGCAAAGAAAAAACTTTTGGTTCGTTTTAAGCAATAACAAAGACATACACAATTACACATAGCGATTAAGTGCTCTGATGACTAATTGAAGATCAACTACTGCGCCACTCGGCTAGGCATCGTGCAACCAATGTAAATTGATTTATAATGCACTATTTCAGAAGTTTTGCTGACGAACGTTTGAGTTTGAGTTCTCTCCGTCTTTGGTCCAGATCAACGCATTGTTTTTGCTGGTGAATTTTTAAATAGAAAAAGGGAACTATTCGCTTTTGAAAACAAAAACTGTTTAGACTCGAACCAAATAGAAAAGCAAGCATTGAGGACAGCATTCAGCATTCAATGCGGAGCAGTCACGAAGTTCTTGTTTCATTTAAAAATGCATGGGCACGACGACGTTTCACATTTTGGATTGACGTGGCAGCTAGAGTAAGCGACGTGGCAGCTAGAGTAAGCGACGTGGCTCCTTATTAATTTACAAGATTCGCGTTGTTTATTCAAAATATAATTACCACTTAAAGCTAATGACTCTGAAAGCAATGGCAATTATCGAAATTGATTGATTGACTTTTCGTAGCGCAAAAGTTTCCCTTTTTCCATCAAAAACCATTTTTCGGGCCAATTATGCGTTAGTTCTATTGTGTTTCCACTTTTGGGATTTCAAAAACTTTACTTTCGTACGAATTGAATTAAAAATGAGCCCAAAGCAGTCAGAATATTTTTCTTTGGCTTCTTTGCCGTCATCGTAGTCTGCGACGGTGGCAAAAACACATTATAGTGATAGAAGTGAAGTTTGCGCGCCGCGAAAGTACGACGTGGCAAACATTTCGCTTTCGAACCACTTGTGAATCGGATAATTGAGGTTGTCACATACGAAATATTCGATGTTGTCTGAAATGTGAATTTTATTTCATTGCGATTTGTATCTGTCATGAAAGCGCGAGAAATAACATCAATTTTTCAAATTGAATTCTGTTTCGCTGTTTACATTTCAAACAAACGAACTTTTCCTATGTTTCTCTTTCTCTCTCTCTCTCTCTCTCTCTTGTTAAGATCCGACTTTTGCATTTCCATGGTAAGTCGTCTCGAAAGCGCGCATTCAATTTAAAAATAAATTTCGATTGAATTTTCACATAAAGCAATTGCTGACCTTCGTTCGGTCCAGCCAACCAATCCATGCGATTCGATGATGGTGTACAGTACAACGAACGGATGGCAAAAAAGAAACACCGATAGAAATGAAGCACAAAATATATTGGTCATTAGTTTGCGGCTCTATTCGTATGTCCTTTTTTTCCCAACATTGTTACTTACCCCACCCCAAATGTGTGTGCACACGTTATATTAAATGTGCACGCAAAACCAGCAGTGAAAGCGAAACTTCGATAAATGCGCCTCACCAATACAACATATTTTCAATGCGAAAGAAAAACAATACCCAAACCAGAATAGAACGGCCCTGTGTCTCTGTGCTTGTGTGTATGTGTGTATGTGTGTATGTGTGTATGTGTGTATGTGTGT